GCGGCCGCGGGGTCCGGCTCCGGCGTCGGGCCGCTCCCGCGGGGCCGGCTGCCCCCGTCCTCCTGGGGGGACTCGCTCACGGGGGGCAGCACCTGCTCGAAGGAGACGGACAGCGACTCGTCCACCTCGGTGGAGTGCGGGGAGCCCACCTCGGCCGGCAGCGACGGCGTGGTGATGGTGGGGGACACGTCGGCGACGTCGTCCTTGAAGGGGCTCAGCGAGAGGCCGCCCGCCTGCCTGTCGTGCGCGGAGCCGCCGCCGTCGTGCGCGGCCCTGGCCGGGGCCCAGCAGTTGGGCTGCTGGTTGGCGTTGGCGCCGGCGGCCGCCTCCTCGCCCGCCTCCTCCACCGGCGACTGGTGGAAGGGTGTGTGGCCGGCGCTGGCCGGCCCCGAGCTGGCCGGGGACATCATCTCCAGGGTCTTCTCCTCGGAGCTGCCGCAGGGGTCCTCGCCGCCCTCGGCGCAGTGGTTGAGCAGCCCGGTGGGCGTCAGGTCGAAGTTGACGCTGCGCTCGCTCCTGGGGGTCTTGGCCAGGGGCGACGGGGGGCCCAGGGCTTTCAAGGGGCTGCTCTCGAGGTGGCGGAAGCGCTGGGGGCTGTCGGGCTCCTCCAGGCCGTTCTCCACGCAGCCCAGCTCCGCGCGCGCCCTGCTCGCGCCGCTCTCCGGCGGCGACGGCTCCAGCTCGCTCTCCGCCGTGGTGATGCCTTCATCTGTCGAGTCCTCCTTCCTCCTGCCCTCGGCCCCGGGCAATGCGGCCTCCCGGCCCTGCTCGGCCTCCGGCAGCAGGTCCTCGGGGGAGGACGGCTTGGAGCCATCCGACGCCCCCAGCTCCTTCTTGCCGCCGGCCTCCTTGGGCGCTTTGCTCTTGGGCTTCTCTGGCTCCTTCTTGAGGGTGGATTTCTTCATGCTTCCGGCTTTGGCCAAGGGTTTGCGCGTGTCCGGGACGGGCGCTTTCCGGGCTGGGGGCTTTGCAGCAGTTTTGCTCTCGGCCTTGCTGTCCTTCACGTCCTTTCGCAGCGTATCGGCCTTCACTTCCTTCTTCACTGTCTTCACCTCCTTCCTGGCTTCACTCTTGGCCTCAGTCCCATCTTCCTTCTTCACCGGCTTCTTCTCTTCTTTTCGGGGAAGAGGCTCCTTCTTGGGCACCGTTTTCTCTTTATTCACCTTGGGTTTTGTGTCAGCTTTGAGCTTTTCCATGGAGGAGTCCAGCTTGGCTCGAGCATCCTTGGCTCTCTCCTCTTCTGACCCTGCTCTAGTCACCTCTCCCAGTGATTTTGGTTTCTCCTTGGTCCCCGACTTCACCTCCTTCTTCTCTGTCTTTGGAGCCTTCTCCTTTGGCGCTGGGGTCCCAGTGTCCACCAGACTCAGCTTGGAAGCAGATTTCAGGCTCTCCTTGCTCTCGGTCCTCTTCTGCTTGAGCTGCTTCTCGGGCTGGGGTGCAGACAGCCCCTTCAAGTCGTTCTTGGTGACCACGGGGTGCTTGAGGAACTCCAGGTGCTTGACCTTCTCCAGCCCCTCCAGGATGTGGGTCTGCGGGGTACAGCCAGGGAAGAGGACCCGGATGATCTTCTCGGAGGGGCTGACGGGGTGCCAGACGAGCAGGGCGCAGATGGAGGTCAGACATTGCAGGGGCAAGTCCTGCTCCTTGGGGTAGCTATTGCCTGACCAGTGCTGCATGAGGAACTCGAGCTCCTTGGTGCCCTTCACAGGGTTCAGGACGTACATGTCCAACCGGCCGACCCCCATTTTCTGGAAGAGGACGGTGGGCTCCACGCGGGGGCTGCTATCCCGCGCCAGCGGGTTGGGGCGGATGCCCAGCTTGTCCAGGTAGCGCAGGGCGAGGGCGGCCTCATCGCAGCTCTTCAGCACCTGGGAGTTGCCCTCGATGTCCTTCAGCTTCTCGGAGGCGTTGAGGAAGACGACGCCGAGCTCCGGGGAGATGAGGTTCTTGGCCCAGTCGCCGTTGCCCTGCGAGCCCTGCGACGGGTCCTCCTCCAGCTCCGCCAGCTTCCTCTGCAGCAGGCTGTTGACGCCGGGCAGGCTGTCGGTGCCCGCGTGCGTCACCAGGATGGAGTCGATGCGGTCCAGGTGCCGGACCAGCTTCCAGAAGGACGACTTGGGGTTGGAGCCGCCGTTCACCAGCACGTTGAAGCCGTTGACCGCAAAGAAGGCCGAGTCGCCCCTCCCGCCCGGGAAGATATAGCAGCAGGGCTTGGAGAGCTTGAGGAAGCCGACCATGGTGGGAGGCTCGAGGAGCTCAAAGGGGGACTGGGGCTCCAGGGACTCCGAGAGGTACTCCATGAACTCCTCCAGCCCCTCCATCTCCGGCAGGATGCAGCCCGGGTTGTACCGCAGCTCGATGAAGTCCTGCAGGTTGTGATGGTCCAGAGCCGAGTCCTTCCACTCTCCGAAGTCAGGGCAGCTGATGGTCAGCCTGGCCTTGGCAGAGGGGGCAGCGGAACTCAGCATCTCTCCTACCTGCGAGGACAGGGGGACAGGCAGAGCTCAGGCCCTGTCCTGTGCAGGGCAGCCCCTGGGGAACCTCAGCCCTCGCTCCCTTGGCGAGCGCAGGGAGCCCCTTCCCCTGCCCGGCGCTCCGTGCCCACAGGGCATCGGCCCTCGGGACTCCCCTCGGGCCCGGGGATCCTCGGGGCCCCTCGGGACTCCCCTCGGGCCCGGGGGAGCTCAGGACGCTGCCACAGAGCAGAGGGCTGGACAAGTCCCGCGCTGCCACGCACGGGGCCCCGCTGCGCGCAGCCACCCCAGGACACGAACAGACATCAACGGGGAGCAGGGGTCCCCGCGCCGGCGCTCACCTCCTTGTCTGCGAAGATCTGGATGAAGTCCCGCAGCGCGAAGCAGCCCGTCTGCAGCATCAGCTCGCCCGTCTCCTCCACGCAGGGCCCCGCGAACACCAGCAACTTGTGCTGGGACACGTCCGTGATGAGGGTTCGCAGCTGGGGACGGAGGGGACGGCCGTGAGGACGCGGCGTCCCCGCCCGGACCCCGTCCCGCCTCCCCGCCACTCACCTCGTCGCACAGGGACTTGTCGGAAGGGTTGAGCAGCACCAGGGTCTCCAGCACGTCGCCCCGGTGGTGGAGGGTGCGCTGGCCTGCGGGGAGCGAGGGCTGAGGCCGGCCCAGCACCTTCCCCAACGCCACCCTGCAGTCTGGGCACCCTGCAGGGGGGGGGACAGGGCCTGCCCCTTCCCACCCGCCGCCGGCGGGACGCCGCGGGGGCTGCTGGAGCTGCCTCTCCTTGTTTCCTTGCGCCCTTCCTGCCGCAGGGAGGGCAGGAAGACGGGGCTGGCCCGACGGGGCCGGCCCCTGCTGCCCTCCGCGAGCGGGGCTGCACGGCCAGAGCGTTACCTGCCCACGCCGCGGCCTGCCCCGGGACACGGCCTGCCCCGGGACACCGTGTCCCGGCACTGGAAGGACAAGGGGACGTGGAATGAAGTCATTTTCCGGAGCCGCGTGGCCTCGGACATGGGCTGCTCGGCTACGTTTCCTTGGGAAGCCTCAGCCCCGCGCGCAGCCAGACCCCAAAGAGCACCGTGTCCCCAGAGGTGCCGCCAACGTCCCCTCTCGGGCTGGCCGGGCTGCTCGGGGACGGCAGCGCCCGGCGGGCACAGGAAGCGCTTTGGGCACGTGGGCCCCACGGGACTCGGCGCCGCCAGCCGGGCTGGCCGCGGACGGGCAGGGCCCCAGGGCTCGGCGGGCGGCCACGAGGAGCTGGGCGTCCCACGAGGAGGGACGGGGACCCATCTGGCCTTCAGCACATGAAAGAGCAGCAGACAGCGGTGGTTCCCGCCGCACAACCCCCATCTCGTAGGGTGGCCCCCAACCAAACTGCCCACCAACGGAGGGGGCTTTGCTGGAGCCGGGAGCTCCTTTCCCAGCTCACGAGCCAGCACCGCATCCACTGGCGGGAGCGAGGGCATCCGGGCAGAGCCCTGGACGTGCTGCTCCGCGGCGGAGCGCGGGACGGGCCCCGCGGAGCCGCCGTCGCCCCCACGCGCCGGCCCCGACAGCTGCTGGGCACAAAGCAGAGCCTGTTCCCGGCGGGGACGGGGGCGGCGGGGACGGCGCCCACCCCGGCACGGGCTGCAGCTGCGCCCGCCGGCTCCCCCAGCGCGGCACGGAACAGGCCGCCCTCCCCGCGGCGCACCGGAGCCGCTGCCGCCGCCAGGCTGTGCTCGGAGGCTCCGCTTCATCCCGCGGGCAGCGCTCGATGCCCCCCGGCTGGGCAGCCCGCCCTGCGCGGGGACCGCGCCGGGAGCGGCCCCGGGGCCACACAGCCAGCTCAGCACAAAGCCGCGGCCAAACGTTTGTGCAGCTCAGCACACAGGCGGCCCGCGCCCGCCTCGCCCGGGGCCCGGCTCTTGGGATGTGCAAATTGACCGAATTAAGCATGGCTCGGGGAGCAGGGACCCCGCGGGCGCGCGGGGAGCTCCGGACTCACCCTTCACGATGCTGGAGAAGGTGGCCGAGTGGCGCGACACGAAGAGCTTGAGCTGCTCGTCCAGGTTGCAGGCGGTGAGGTCGATGTCCCAGGAGCGGATGCCTGCGGGACGGCGGGATGAGCCGCGCGCCGGGGCCTGTGGCGCCTCCCTCGCCCCGGCGCCGGCTCCGGATCACGCGGGCGGCCGGGGGCCCCGTGCTCTGCCCCGAGCCGGCTCCCGAGAGCCCCCAGCCCGGCCCGGCGCCTCCTGCTCCTCGCGGCGCCGGGATGCTCAGCCCCTGCTCCCGCCACACAGGCCCTGCGTCCCGCCGGTGCGGACGCGTTCCCAGCCTCCGCGCTGCCACGGGAGCCTGACGGGGCAGGGAGAGGGACCCGCGCGGGGAGCAGCCGGGCCGGGCGGCGCCCGCGCTGGCACAGCACAAAGCGTGGGCAGGGCACGAAGCGGCGCCCGGGGCAGCACGTGGCGCAGGGCGGCGGCGCTGCCGGCAGAGCCGCGGCCCCGCGGCTACGGGCGCGCCGACCGGCACCTCGCCCTGCATCCCGGGCGCCCCGGCGCCCCGCATCCCGGGGCATTCCGGAGCATCCGGGAGCATCCCATCGCCCTGCGTCCCAGAGCTCCCCGGCGCCCTGGATCCTGGAGCATTCCGGAGCATCCCATCGCCCCGCGTCCCAGAGCTCCCCGGCGCCCCGCATCCTGGAGCATTCCAGAGCATTCCAGAGCATCCCATCGCCCTCCATCCTGGAGCTTCCCAGAGCTTCCCATCGCCCTGCATCCCAGAGCATTCCGGAGCATCCCATCGCCCCGCATCCTGGAGCTCCCCAGAGCTTTTGCATCCCGGTGCTCCCCATCACCCTGCATCCCGGAGCATTCCAGAGCATCCCATCGCCCCGCGTCCTAGAGCTTCCGAGAGCTTCCCATCGCCCTGCATCCTGGAGCTCCCCAGAGATCCCCGTCGCCCCACATCCCGGAGCGGCCGGCGCTTCCCGCGCTCCTCGCCGGCCCCCGGGGCCGTTCCGGGCGCAGCGCTGGCGCTCCCAGGCGCTGCCGGCCGGGCCTTCGCGCGAGGCTGCGCCGGGCTCCGCACCGGCCTTTTCCGGAGCCCCTGGGGCCGGATCGGCGCCTCCCCCGGGACACAGGCTGGGTTGGGGGGAATGGAGGAGTTGGGGGGCAGGCACCCCCGGCACAGCCCCCACGGCCCTCCCTGGATTCCCCAGGGATCCAGGGGAAGCAGATCCTGAGGATGCGAGGCAGGAAAGGAGACAGAGCCCAGGGACCCAAGGCAGGAGACAAATCCCAAGGAAGCAGATCCTGGGTATCCACAACTGAAGAGGTCAGAGCCTGGCGATCCCATGGGGATCCAGTGTACAAGGAGGGGCAGATCCCAGGGAGACAGATCTCTGGGATCCAGAGGGCAGGTCCCAGGGATGCAGGGCAGGAGAGGGGACAGATCCAGGGGATACCGCAAGCACAGATCCCAAGGGTCCCAGCAGGCCGATCCCATGAAAGGCGGCAGATCTCAGGAATCCAAGCAACAGATTCCATAGGTACTGGCAAACCAATCCCAGGATCTAAGTGAGCAGATCTAGGAGGGCAGATCCTGGGGATCCCAGGAGGTCAATCCCAGGGATCTAAAACAGGAAAACAGGTAGATCCCAGGGATCCAAAGGAACAGATCCCAAGGATTCCAGCAGGCTGATCCCAAGGATCCAAGGGAAGAAAGAAGGGAAGCTGATCCCGGGATCCAAGTGACAAATCCCATAGGTCCGATCAGGTCAATCCCGGGGATCCAGGGCAGGAAAAGGGGGGCACATCCCGGGGATGCAGAGGCGCCGCCCCCACCCCCCCCCGCAAGCAGATCCGCGGGATGCAGGGGGCGGATCTCGGGAATTGAGGGGGGCAGATCCCGGCGATCCCGGGCGGATGCCGGGCCCGTCCCGGCGGGCGGGCGGCGCGCGGAGCCCCCCCCGCGGCGCCGTCCCCGCTCACCTCGGCGGAGCTGGCGCAGCGCGGCCGCGCGCAGGCCGGCGCGGTGGCAGCCGCCGCCCACGATGGCGAGCAGCGAGTAGCGGCGGGGCCCGGCGGCGCCGGGCGCGGGGCCGCCACGAGCCGCCGCCATCTTCGGGCCCCCCGCAGCCACGGCGCGCCGCGGGACACGCCCCGCCGCGCCGCGTCACCGCCGCCGGGCACGCCCACTGACGTCACCGCGGGCCAATGGGCGGCGGCGGGCGGAGGAGGCGGGGGAGCCGCGCCCCGCGCGGGGGGGTTCTTAAAAGGGCAACGCCGGGGTGGGGCCGTGCCGGGGTGGGGCCCGCAGGCTTCCCGCGCTGCAGGGCTGTGCAATGCAGTTCAGAGCTGTGCAAAGCAGCGCGCGGCTGTGCAATGCAGTTCAGAGCTGTGCAAGGCAGCGCGCGGCTGTGCAATGCAGTTCAGAGCTGTGCAAAGCAGCGCGCGGCTGTGTATCGCAGCGTGAGGCTGTGAAATGCAGCACAATGCAGCGCACGGCAGCACAAGGCAGCGTGGGGCTGTGCAAGGCAGTGTGGAGCTGTGCAATGCAGTGCAATGCAGTGCAGGACAGTGCAAGGCAGCACAACGCAGCGCAAGGCTGTGCAATGCAGTGCAATGCAGCGCAGGGCAGTGCAAGGCAGCACAATGCAGCATCGGGCTGTGCAATGTAGCGTGGGTCTATACAACACAATGCAGCACGGAGCTCTGCAATGCAGCACAGGGCTGTGAAGTGCAATACTAGGAGCGTAGGTGTCAGCTAGCAGCTGTGAAATGCTGTGCTGCAGCGTGCAGTGTCATGCTATGGATGCGCAGTGCTGGGGGTGTGCACTGCAATGCTACGGGCGTGCAGTGTGGGGCAGGCAGTGTGCAACACAGTGCAGAGTGCTGTGGTGTGCAGTGGTAGGGATAGAGCATTGCAGTGATGGGGAGCATGCAGTGCATTGCTAGTGTGTGCAGTGCAGTGCTAGGGGTACCCAGTGCAAGGCTGGCATGTGCATTGCAGCACAGTAGGAGCAGGATGGGGCACGCAGCGCAGCGCCGTGCAGTGCGGCTCGGTCACGGCGCCCAGCCACCCCAGGCCCCTGCGCCCAGGCTGCACCTGAGGCCCCCAGTCTCCCCCAGCACATCCCGCGCTGCAGCCAGGACCCGTGGCCAGGGGGGCAGGTCCCCAGCAGCGCGGCCGCCCCCTCCCCGTGCAGCCCCAGGCTGCCTCAGGCTCCAACGCCGCAGGGCAGAGCCCGCGCGGCCGCTTCCCTGAGCGAACACAGCCCCGGTGAGGCCGGCGCATCCGCCGAGCCCTGTTCGGACACTAGGATGGGAGCGAGCGCAGGGCCAGACCCCTTCCCAGGGGCGCACACAGAGCCGGCAGCCCACAAACCAGCTTTATTGCAAAACGCTGGCACAGGGGAGCCCGCGGCCCCTGCGACTCCGGGCACTGACAGCGCCAGTCTGCCACAGGGAGGGACGGCGGCTCCCTCTTCTCCTGGGGACCCGCGGCTGGACCCCCTGGCTGCACTGCGAGGCCGGGAGTGCTGCTGCCTGCCCCACACCTGCCCCTCCCTGGGCACAGGGACACGGATCCAGCTGGAAAAGGGGGAAGAGACAGCAGTGAATGACAGGAAAAGGACACGGGGACATCCCGGGTCCCCACTCGCCCTGTCAGGGGTGTGAGAGCAGCGTCCCCTGCCCAGCTGCGCAGACAGGGTCCTGCTGGGGGGTCCCCATGCACCCACCTGCCCTCCTAGCTGCGCGGAGCCGACCACTTCTGCCAGCAGCCACCGGCCACCGCGGCCCGGCCCTCACGGACACCCTGGGGGGGCAGAGCGGAGGAAGGGGGGGATTGCTGGGGGGGCCACTCCTTCACCGCAGGCACCCCCCTTACCCCACAGCCCCTCCAGACCATGTAGAAGCCAGTGTGGTAGCCACTGAGGTACCAGGACATCAGCATGGCGGCCAGGGCTTCCTCCTCCTCCTCCTCTTCCTCTTGCAGGACGCACAGTGGGGGCCACGGCGGCGGCACGAGCTGCAACCGCCACCCAGAGCCCACGTTAGGGACAGTGTCAGCACCAGGGACACGGCCGTGGGTGCCCGCAGCCCTGGGCACCCCCGGGGAGCTGGGGGTGCAGGACACTCACGTGCGGATCCTGGCGGGGGCAGGGGGCCCGCTTGCCCTTGCTGCTCTTCCTCCTCCTCCCCGGGGGCAGCTGCCATGCCGGGATGGGTCTCGGCCTCCGGGGCTCCCCGTGGGGACCGTCCTCCACCTTGCAGGGACACATGGGCGTCAGTGTAGCCCCCCCAGACCCCCAATTACCCCGACAGTCCCTCGACGCCGTCACTCACCGGCCGGGCCCGGGGGTTGGCGGGCGGCAGGAGGTCGCCCAGCGCCTGCTGCTCCTCGTTGCCGCAGCCGTCGAAGCGCAGCAGGCAGGTGCCGGCGGCGGCGTCCAGCGCCCGCACCGTGGCCGGGTACAGCAGCCCGTCCCCTGGCCACACGGCACGGCAGGCGGCTCCCACCGCCCACTGCAGGGACGGGACGCGGTCAGGCTGCCCCGAGCCCCCCGTGCATGAGTCGGGCTGAGGGGACGGGCTCTTATGTCGCCCACTCACCTGGGAGGCACCTTCTTTCTCCTCCTCCTCCTCTTCTTCTTCTTCTTTCTCCTCCTCCTCCTCTTCTTCTTCTTCTTTCTCCTCCTCCTCCTCCTCCTCTTCTTCTTCTTTCTCCTCCTCCTCCTCCTCCTCTTCTTCTTCCTTCTCCTCCTCCTCCTCTTCTTCTTCCTCCTCCTCCTCCTCCTCCTCTTCTTCTTCTTTCTCCTCCTCCTCCTCCTCCTCTTCTTCTTCTTCTTCCTCCTCTTCCTCCTCGCTGGGGGTCACACTCAACGCCAGGGACTTTGGGCTCTGGTCTGACTCCTGATCCAGGGCATCCTGGGGGAGGCCGCAATGGGGTGGGGGGCTGAGCGGGGCCCCCCTCCTGTCCCAGTTCAGCCAGTCCCAGGGCAGAGTTCCCTAGGCCCAGCCCCGACCCGGTTCCATCTTCTCCCACCCCAGTACCCTGGGTCCACCCTAGCCCAGACCTTCCAGTCCCACTCCAGTCCGAGACTTCCCAAACCCATTACTCCCAGTCCAGGTTAGACTGGACCCTCCTGCTCCAACCTGCTCCCAGTTCCCCCACCTCGGTACCCCCGGCCCAGCCTAACCCAGACCCTCAATTCCCGGCCCGGTCCTAGTTCTTCCAGCCTGGTACCCCCCAGTCCAGGCTAGCCCAGCCGCTCCCATCGCGGTCCGGTCCTGGTTCCCCAACTCGGTGCCTCCGCTCCAAGGCTCTTCAGGCTCTGCAGCCCCGGTCCGGTCCGGTCCGGTCCGGTCCGGTCCCCCACCCCCGGGCCCCGCCGCCGCCTACCCGCGGTCCCTGGGCTCTCTCGGCCATGACCCGGCGCAGGCGGCACCGAACCGGCAACCGCACGTGTATCCCCACGCCGCGCCCCGCCCCCGCGCGCGGCGCCCCCTGGGTAATGTAGTCCCCATGGCGGCGGCGCAGGCCGGGGCGTGGCGAGCCGCGCCTACACTTCCCATGAGGCATTGCCCGCGCTACCAGCGAGTCGCACGGGCAGCGCGCCGCGGGCGCTCTTCAAGCGCGCCCCCTGGCGGCGGGCGGGAGCGCCGCGCCGGGCGCAGCGCGCGCGGCCATCGGTGCCGCGAGCTGTGTCGGTGCTCAGCCCCTCGGCAGCTCCCCCGCGGAACGTCGTTAGGCTGCTGCTGCTGACGGAGATTCCCCGTCGCTGCCGGCCAGGTGTAAATATTTACCTAAGGGCAATTAGCAGGCGCCATAAGCAGCGCTGGGCGTGAGCACGCAGGCTGCACACCGACAGCACGGGCGCCCTTCGTGCAGCCGCAGCCCCGGGAGACGCGGGCAGCTGGTGGCCGTGGCTGGGGGTTCCCTGGCGCCCGCTGTGTTGGGGCACCAGTGGCCGGGATGTGCCCGACAGGTAGGGCAGGGATGGGGGACCCCTGGCAGGACCCTGCAGAGACAGGGGATGCAGGGTTGGGATGCAGGGATGGAGCGAGGGCAGCCCGAATCCTGCCCGGCCGCAGCAGGGCAGCGCGTGGCCAGGCAGGCGGCCCGCTCGTGCCCAGACATGCCCGGAGCTGGCCTGGCCACAGGAGGCCTGGCCTGGGAAACGACACGGAGCATGAAACCGGAGCGTGAAACCGGAGCGCGAAATAGGAGCGTGCAACCCGAGCGCGCAAGCAGGGCGCCGGGAGCGAGCCGGGGGGGCCCGGAGCAGCGCGGGTGCAAGCGAGCGCGCCAAGCGGGTGCACGCGGGGCGGCCCCGCACAGGCTGCGGCCGTGGGCGGGGCGGGGGGGGCACCGGGGCCCACGCGTGCCCGGCGGCGCGGGGGGAGCGGCGCCCGCGCGTGCCCGCCAGGGGGCAGCCGCCTCCCGCCGCCGCTCGCAGAGCCGGGGAGCGGAGGGAMCCCCCGCACACCGGGGCGCTGCTGCACGGACCGGCCCCCCCGCCCCGTTCCCAGTCCCGGCGCACGGATCCCACCGCCCGCTTTGCAAACCCCAAGGTGCAGGCTGATCCTCCAAGGCGGATCCCGGTGCGTGGACATCCCCGCCTCGCAACCCCCACGGCACGGATCGATACCCGCCCCCCCCGCCCGGTGCAACCCCCAGTGCACGGGCCGATGTCCCCGGCGCTGCTCCGGGCACATCCCGCGTGGGGGGGCAGTTTCTGGGCGGGGGGTTCCGCGTGTTCCCAGCTCGGGACACTCCAAAAATACCCCGCTCTGCCCCTCCCCCTCCCGGAGCACCCCCTCCCCACGTGGGGCCCGCGCGCGGCAGCCAATGGCCGCGCCCGCCGCTCTTCTCTTTGTGAACGGCCAGCCAATGGGCGTGCAGGAGACGCCGCGCCCCGCCCCCGGGAGGCTATAAAAGGCGGCGGCGGCAGCGCGGCGCTCAGAGTAGCGCGCGGCAGCGGAGCGGGCGGCAGCACCGGGAGCGGCACCAGAACCGGCACCGGGACCGGGACCCTCTCTGGATTATCACCCGTGGACTGCGCTTATTTCTGCCTTTTTTCCCTTCTTTCCGTCGGATCCTTGCGTGCCTCGGGCTGCCCGCCCTGTGGATTACAATTGCACCATGACCCTGGAGGAGCTGGTGCCTTGCGACAGCAGCAAGTAAGTGCGGGGCACAGCGGCGAGGCCCGGCCCGGGGCCGGTGCCGCCGGTGCCGCCGCCGCTCACGGGCCCCTTCGTCCCCCCCGCAGGATGCAGGCGGTGAGCGAGGCCGTGGAGCGGGTGCTCGTGGCTGCGCAGCGGCAGCACCGACTCACCGTGGGCGTCTACGAGTCCGCCAAGCTCATGAACGTGTAAGTGCCCGGGCTGCGCGAGCCGGTGCGCGGGGTGCAGCGGGCGGGCGGGCGGCTGCGCGAGCCGGTGCCCCGGGGGTTGCGCCAGGATGCGGGAGCCGGTGCAGCGGCGGGGACCAGTGCAGAGCTACGGGGCTCTGTGGGAGGCAGGAGGATGATGCCCGGGAGCAGAACCAGTGCAAGGGTGTCTAGGAGGGCTGGAGCAGGAGGGATGCCAGGGACTAGCCCCAGTGCTTGGGGACACCTGGACAGGGGGGTCTCTCCCCCCCCGCCCCCCAGCACCCTCCCAGATGCTGGGATGGGTGCTGTGGGGTGATGCAACCCACCCCCCAACCTTGCACGTGCCACGGGGCGTCTGTGGTACCTGCATCCCTGGCACCTGCACCCCCGCTGCTCCGGTCCCCTCACGTCACCGCCGCCGCCCGCAGGGACCCCGACAGCGTGGTGCTCTGCTTGCTGGCCACGGACGAGGAGGACGAGGGCGACATCGCCCTGCAGATCCACTTCACGCTCATCCAGGCCTTCTGCTGCGACAACGACATCCACATCCTGCGCGTGTCGGGGATGCAGCGGCTGGCGGCCCTGCTGGGGGAGCCGCCGGCGGGCGCCGAGCCCCGCGACCTGCACTGCCTCCTCGTCACGGTGAGTGGGCCGGGGCCGCCGCGTCCCCCTGCATCCCGCCGTGTCTCCTTGCATCCCGCCGCTCACCTCCTGCTTTCCCCCTCCCGCAGAACCCGCACACGGACGCCTGGAAGAGCCAGGGCCTGGCTGAGGTGGCCAGTTACTGCGCCGAGAGCCGCGACCGCAACCAGTGGGTGCCGTGCGTGGCCCTGCAGCAGCGCTGAGGCCCAGGACGCCGCGTCCCGACCCGCCCGGAACGGCGGGGAGAGAAAAAAAAATGCAGAAAACCCCCCAGCAATCCGCGCGAGAGGGAAGGAGGCGCAGCCAGGTCGCCAAACGCGCACGCACCACCCACCGATTTTATTTTTCTTTTTAACCGGAGAGGTGCCGGGAGCCTCCGGCCGCGAGCCGAGACAGCAGCGGGATGAGCCGGGCAGGAGAGGCGGGAGCCGGAGCCGCCGGGCGTCCCGCCGGCCCCGGGGCTGGCGCGGCCGCGCCGCGGAGCGCGCACGGATGGAGATGGGTTTGCTTTATTTTGGCATCCGGGACTCGATGGGAGCGAGCGCTGCACACGGACAGGACTTGCAAAGGAGCTTTTTTTTTTCTTTTTTCTTCCAAGGGATTAATATTTTAGACATTCAGAGACTCATGACAACAAGAATCCTTCTTTGCACTCAAGCCACTTGGAGACCCAGATCTAAAGCTATTATAGAGATGATCTATTCTTGTACTGATTTGAAAGAAAAATATTATTTACAATAAATTTCTAAACTGACCCTTGGCTGCATGAGTGTCCCGCAGGCGGATGGGCGCGGGAAGGGGCCGCTCCTGGTGCGGGCGGCTGCTCCCGGCCGCAGCCGCGGGGCTGGTTTCGGGGCGGGGAGGGAGCGGCTGGTGCCAGGCGGCTCCAGCACCAGCAGATCGAGCTCTGGCAGCGGCTGCCGCCGTCCCCGGGGTTCTGTGGGGGTCACAGCGTGGGGGGCAGCGCTCTGAGCATCCCTGTGCCAGCGGCGTGGCTGGGCAAGAGGCGCAGAGCCGCTCCCGACTGTTCCCACCCCCGAGGACCAGGCAGGGACCCTGATTTGCAGGACCCCCTTCCCAAAGCTTTTTTTTTCCCTCCCCCCAAAGCATCCCTTTTTGGCTGCCCCCTCACCCTGCTGCAAGGGGCAGGGGCCTCTTGGGCTGCCCGGGTGGCTCCAGGAGACCTGGGAGAAGGGGAAACGGAGGCCGCAGCTCCCCGTCCTGCGCTGCAGCACCCGGGGCCACGCGGTGGGTGGGTTTGTCGGTGGGCGGCAGCTGTTCGAGGCCCTGCGGCCGCCCCCGGCCCGTGGGCTGAGCCGGGTGCTCCCGGGGAGCCCCCGTGCCGGCCGCAGGGAACCCCCGGGAGCCGCGCGACTCACCGGGGAGCCCGGTGCAGAGCGGGGAGCTGCAGCCCAGGAGGGAGGAGGCTCCTGCCCTGCTGGCCAAGAAACCCCCCGCCCGGCACTGCCTGCACCTGGGGGCCCTCCCCGAAGGGTGGCAGCCCCTGCGCCCTTGGAGCCCCCTGCCCACCCCGCTCCTTGGAACTGGGTGCTCAAGTGCAGGGCAGTGCCACTGTCACCTCCCTGGGGGTCATTGGCCCCGACTGTTTGCTGGGCACCCCCTGCATGCTCCCCCTCACAGCCCCCCCGCATGTCTGCACCCCTGTGCCGCACTCGTGCACCGAGGCTGCTGCGGCGCATGCGGCGGGAGCCGGGACTCGCCGGCGGGTGACCCTGCCCGGCTGGGACACGGATCCGTGTGCGGCCCTGGCCCTCGTCCCGCAGGCCCTGGCAGCGCCGCGCAGGGAGCTGCCGGCCTCGTCCCTTGGACGCTGCCCTCCCGGGGCACGGGGGCAATGCCCGGCCTGCAACCGGATTTCCGGCAGGCGCTGCCAGGGCGTGGGAAAGGGCCCGGAGCTGCCCCGGGCGCCACCGCAGCCCAGCCCCGCTGCTGCTCCCAGGGGAGCAAAGTGCAATCCCAGGGGAGCCGATTCGGGGTTGGGGGGGGAGGGTGCATCCCATGGGAGCCGGCAGGGTGAAGCTGCCGGGACAGGCTGGGGCGCATCCACCCGCCCGGCATCGCCCTCCTGCCTGATCCGGGAACGCCAGGAGCCCCCGGGGGCGGGAACGCGGGGCCGTGGCCAGGACCACCCTGCAACAACCCGGCCGGCACCGACCCCCCTGGCAGAGCCGGGGGCTGCGGGGGGAGATCGGTGCCGTGGCTGCCCGGACGCCTGGGCCCGGCAGAGGCTGGCGGTGACTCAGGAGCCCGTGGCCTCCTCACCTGACCGGCCCCGCCGCCCTCCCCGTGCCTCAGTTTCTCCATTTGCACGAGGTCAAATCACTCCTGCCATGGGGACTGATGGGTCACTAGGGCCTCGGGGGCCCTTCCAGCAGGACAGACGGACAGACGGACGCGCTGGGCCTCACGCCGGCTCCCCGGCCGCCCTTATCACGGGCGCCAGCACCCGTCCCGCCCGCACCGGCCGGGCCCGATAGCGGCCGCCGCGGCGCCCCAGGGACGCAGCGGGCCGGGCTGAGCGTCCGCGAAACTCATTTCACTGGTGATCCCGGTGATCCCCCGCCGTCCATCTGTGCAGCCGCCGGGAGCGGGGGCACGGGCGCGCAGCGGGGCCCTTCGCGTTCCCGCCGCCCGCGTCACTGCGCCCGCGCGGTCAGGCCGGGCTGAGTCACGGTGCCCGCGGCCCCGGGGGCTCCTCGGCGGGGCCCAGCCCCCAGCACCCCCCCCCCGCCCCATCCCCGCGGAGCCGCCCCCGCCCCGGGACCCCCCGCCCGGCGGCCCTTTGTTCTCCCCGCTCCATTGTTCCCCCGCCGTGGGAAGAGGCCCCGTCCCGGCGGGGGGGGGGGGGCTGCGCGGGGACCCCCTGGCCGGGCGAGGGGGGCGGGATCCCCCCCCCGGCTGCGGCGCCGCCTGACTCAGCGGGGGGGGGGGGATCCCGGCCCAGACGCGGGGGCGGCCGGGGGGGGTTCGGCCCGCGCTGACTCAGCGGCCCGACACGGCCCGGGGGGCGGGAGGGTCCCGCGGGGGGGCCCCGTCACCCCCCCGGAGCGGAGCGGGGCGGAGCCGCCGGCGCCTCCTGCCCCTCCCCGGCCGCCCCCCTCCCCGGGCGCGGGACCGGGAGCGGGACCGGGACCGGGAGCAGCGGCGCTGCGGGCGGAGCGGGGCAGCCCTGGCGCGTGCACGCACGTGTGTGCAGCTGCCAGCGCGTGCACGTGTGTGTGTGTGTGTGTGCACGCGTGTGCACGTGTGTGTGTGTGCACGTATGTGACTGTGCACGCGCGTGCACACGAGAGCGTGCGTGCTCCCGCGAGCGGGGTTGTGCAAGCACGGGGACGCGCAGCGCCACTCACGCGTGCATGTCACAGGTGGGTGCATGTCTCGTGTGTGTGCACGTCTCAGGTGTGTGCACGTCTCAGGTGTGTGCATGTGTGTGCATGTCCCATGTGTGTGCACGTCTCATGTGTGTGCACATCTCATGTGTGTGCA